GCCCTTCTGCAGGCGCGTGGCAGCTCTGTGTTCGGGGACACCCAGCCGTGGAGCACCGAGGGCTGGTGCAGCTGCCGCCCAGCAAGGAGGCTGCAGTCCTCCCAGGCAGCGAGGGCATTCCTGCAGAGTCAGGCTGCTGCCGGTGTGTCTGGTCACTCAACAAGCTCAACACAGTGGTGGCTACAGCCTCCTCACCAGGCAGGCGACCCGAGCCCTCGTCGTGGGGGCAATGCCACCAGGATGCTGTGCCGGGGGGTGGTGGGCAGGAGCTGGGCCTGGCAGCGGGAGCACAGGACTCCTGGGCTCCTCTCCTGAGCCAGCTGCTGCCTCGCTGTAGGTACTTTGCCTTGCCAAGCAGGTCAGTTAGGGCCAAACTCTTTTTTTTTTTTCTTTTTTGGGGGGTTGCACGGGTGCTGGTGCCAAGCATGACATGTTGGGGCTGAACTTCAGGAAAGCCTCGGAGCACCTCTCTGCAGCTCAGGTTGCAGCATGGTGCCAGCCAGGCTCTTGGGAAGCGTCTCAAGCCATGGCCACCTGCTTCTCAACCAGAGGAAGCATGGAGGCCAGTTGCCCAGACCAAGGCAAGGAAGGCTCTGCCCTCTGCTCCCCTTGGACCAGCAGATGCAATGAGGCTTTGATCTCCAGTGACTTCCAGTAGCCCAGGTGCATCTGGCTGCTTTCGTGGGTCGGTGGCCCACTAGGCTCTGTCAGCCAGCACTGCCAGCCCTGCCCATGGCCATGCTCATGCCACCCCAACGGGTGGGATGGGACAGGGGGTACCAGGGAACCGTTCCCTCGTGCCTCTGCTTCACATCGGCTCTACTGGGAGCAGGAAAGGAATTTGGATGGGGCTGGGCGTTCCCGTGTAGCGATTCCCCCGGGCAGGATCTGGCTCTGATGACTGTTCTGTGCGGGGAAGAAATACCAGAAGAGTTACTCACGGCTCATTGGGGCATGATGTAGCAACTCCTCACCGGTTCCCCCCACCCTCCAGCCAAAGTTCCTCCTGTGATCTCCTGGGGAAAGTCCCAGCCCCCCCACTCCCCCCCTGCCACCCCCAGAGACCTTCCCCACCCTTGCTGGAGCTTTCCAGAAGCAGGAGATGAGCTGGGGTTTTGGGTGAGAGGAGAAAAGACCCAGCAACCTGCCATGCTGGTGGGACTCTGCTGTCCCCTTGGCTCTTCCATGCTGTGTCTGGTGATGGGCACAAGGCCAAGGTCTGAGAGAGCACCAGCCTGGGGTATCCACATCTGGACAGCCACATATCTGGCTTCAGTCCTGGCAGAAGTGCAAACCGATTGGGCCAGCTCAGGTCTCTCTATTGCCTTTTTGGCAGTCACATTCAGGTCATGTATTCCCATTGCTCTCCACAACCGCAGGGGCAAGAAGTGAGTTTTAACTTTGGTTTGCTGGAAGGAGCTGAGAAGCTCTCCTGCTCCTGGGACTGGGAAGTCCAAGCTTTGAGAAAAACCACTTGACTTCATATGTCTCTAGCAGAGCCACCAGGCTGGTGGTCCCCTCTGTGGCAGGGACTCTCAGGGATAGAGGAACCTCTAGAGCTTGGGCAAAAATACTTGATGAAACTGGCGTTAAGTTCCACCTGGTTTTCCCAGCATGGACTTGCTGCCATCTTTAGAAGCCATCACTGCCCTTTTCATGACATGCATGTGAAAGAAATGGCCATTTCTTTTTAAGTTTTGGAACTTCTTTAGCGATTTGCCTCTGCGGGGAGATGATGGGACACCGTTGGGAAAATCTGGTCCCCTCTGATGGAAGCCACCTCCATCATCTGCCTGGGTGCTTCTACCCTAATGGTCATTCCTCTCTCTTGGGTGAAGCACCTTGAGCCCTCCCATTTCAGCCCAGCCCCCCGTGTGGTGCCCTGCAGGGTGGAGGTGTCCCTCATGGGGCAGGAGGGCCATGCACCAGAAGGTGCAAGACTGGAGCAGCTCAGCAGGCTTAGATAGTCCATCCATGTGAGGAAACATGACTTTTGGTGGGACTGGAACAGATCCCATCTGTGGATCAGGGAAGCTGCACTCAGGATCATGGAAGAGGAGAGACTGGGGATGCCCAGACCCTGGGGAGCCAAGCCCTCACTGGCAACTGGTTCCGGAGGCTCAGCAGTGGCCATGGGGAAAGGAGGTGTCCTGCACGCTCTCTGTGCCCAGCAGTCAGTGCGGTTGTTAGGATGGCTGCCCGGCAGCTTGTTCCCAGTTAGGGAAGCATGGGGACACTGTTTTTGTAACCACAGGCACACTGGTGTCTTGCCTGTGGCTCCCTCAGAAAGGGAAGCCACAGAGCAGATCTTGAAGGTTGGTATTGTGTTGGGAGCCAGCTGGCCCCAGGAGGGAATGAGCTCCTGCGACCAGGAAGCCTGTGCCCTGGAGCTGCCTGCACCCAGAGCATGCCACCTGCAGACCCACCGAGATCAAGGGATCGTTTTGTGTTTTCCAATGAATGGCCTGGGGTCCCAAGCTCAGACAGGGTCTCTGCAGAACCAAACAACACCAGGAACTGTGGCTTGCCGGGCTCGGTGGCCATGCTGTGCTGGGAGTCTCACCCTGGCTGTGCTGGCATTACTGGCGTGCCATTTCACAACGCTATGTTCCCAAAACGGGGGGGGCAAGGGGAGAGCAAACTGCAGTCTTTGCAGCCCCAGGATGCTCAGAGCCTGGTCCCTTGCTGGGGGATGTGAGATGTGCTTGGGGGGAATGGCCCTGCCCTGCATCCCCTCTTTGTGTCATCAAAGACACCTTGTCCCCACTCTGGTCCCCTCCCCAGCTCTGCCCGGCCAGGGGAGCCGTGTGCCGGGATCCAGCTGCTGCAGTGCAGGTGGCCTGGGATTAGCAAGCAGGGGAGTGAAGGGACTGGTGTGGTGCGGGGAGAGCTCGGCGGTGAGTCAGTCGTCACCCCAGGCAGCCCTGAGATCACAGGCGCCTGCAAAGCAGCCCCTGGGAGGTGGGAAGCCAACGCCACCTACAAAGTGCCGAAGCATGATGGATACGCAGAGCCCCACTGGGCAGCACAGCCCTGGGGACAAGGGGGTTTGGCCAGCCTGGGAGGGAGGGGTGGAAACGGGGTGGACAGCAGACATCAGGGGGTCTGACTAGTTCTTGGGGCAAAGAGTGAGAGGCAAAGGGCTTGGGGATTTGGAGAAAGGGCCCTGATGTTGGAGATGGTTATTGGAGATGGAAAAGCAGGATCTCGGAAGGGAAAATGAACTGCTGGAGCATGCCCTGCCAGAGCAAACTCGCCCCATGGGAACACCGCTGCTTTCATGCCCCACAGGGTGAGCCTGGGTGCCCTGAGCCCCAAGCAGAGATCCCATCCCTGCGCGGTCACCAGCCCCAGGTCTCTGCTGTCGGGAACTGCTGCGGTGGCCGCGTGCCCTGCTGTCCCTGCTATGCTGGGAGATGGAGCCACACAGGTTCTGCAAGGTCACAGGAGCTCCCACACTTCCCTCCAGCACCTTCCTCTTCTCCTCAGCCCCTAAAACACAGCTGGCTCCAGGGGCAAGGACCCCATCCATCCAGTCCCTCCTGGAAGGGCAAAGTCAGCCCTCCTGCCCAGGGGTGGTGAAGGGCAGAGCATCCGTCCCAGCTGACCCAGCTCCCCGCTGCCTGCGGGCACGTTATGAAACGAGGACACGGGCCGCTCCCCGCTGGGCCCGGGGCGCTCGCTTCCTTCCAGCCTGGTATTTTCCTCCTCGATTTGGTTTTGGGTTTTTTTTTTTTTTTTTAATTCACTTTTTTTTTTTTGCATAGCCCCAAGGGGCACACAGCTGTGGGAGGAGCGGGGAAGTTATCAGCCGGGAGATACCAGCAGCATGATTCACTGCCTGGCCCCTGCAGGCTGCTGCAGCCGGATGGGTGCCCTCCCAGCCACCGCAGCGAGGTGCCATTTGTGGACTCCCATCTGCTGGCCTGTCCTCACTGCCTTCCCCTCTTCCTGCTCTCTGGCTCCACCATCCCTCCCCAGCAGTGTGGGGTCAGGGGTGCAGCCCCCAGCCCCAGCACAGCCACGGGCATGAGGCCAAGAGCTGGGATTCCCACAGGATGGATGGGGTCCAGCATGCGTCTGGCTGGGCAGGAGCCTCCCAGCAGCCACCTCACAAGTGTTCGGGTCCCCACCTCCTGCCAGTCTGCAAACAGCTCCTAGGACTCTTATGGGATGGCAGCAGAGCACCAGAAAGTCTCGCACAAGTGGGTAGGCAGTACCAAGGGTCCCCCTCCATCCTTCTGGCACCCTGCAGGAGCAGAGAGCCCCAGGCAGCAGGAAGAGCAGGGTACTGCACCCTGAAATACCCTGTGCTGTCTCCAATCCACTTTTATTCACAACCAGAAAATAACTTACCATACAATAACACAGGCACGCACAGCACAGCCCCAGGCACCCTCCCCTCCGGCCACGATGCTGCAGCCCAAGCCAGCCCAAGCTCTGCCCCAGCAGAGGCGAGCCCCAGCCCGGGGAGCTGTGCCCCCTCTCCATCCCAAGGGATGCTCCATCCCCATCCCTCTCAGAGCACAGTCTCGCATGTGGCCGGAGGAACCTGTGCACGGTGCCAATGTGTGTGTCCCCCCCTCCCCTCCCACCCTGGGCTCCCCATGCCCTGCTGTCCCCCACCCCACCCTGCCCCGTCCCGCTGGGTGCCAGCGGGCACTCCCCCACCCCCATGCCCACCCTCCGCCCCCCCGAGCGGTGCTGGTGTCGGCGGTCTGTACAGCATGGCCGTGCGCTCCCCGGGGCCGGGAGCCTTGGTGCTCTCGTGTGGGGCCAGGCGGGCAGCAGGCAGCAGGCAGCCCTGCCCTCCCCAGGTGACGACAAAGTGCTGATTTCAGAGGGTGCCGAGCATCTCCTCTCCTGCTCCCCTCAGAGTGGAAGAAAGCGGGTACCATGGCTCCATCTCCCCCCCCAGCGCCGATCCCCGTCTCCCTCCCCCCCTGCGGGCAGGCATGCTTGTCCCTGGCACCCTGGGGTGGGCACCCATCCCTGCCCGGCTACTTGCAGACGCTGACCCACTCGGTGATGCGACACTCCTCGCAGGCCACGAAGCAGCACCAGTGGAACTTGCAGTTGCAGCGCTCGCTGCGCGTCTGCCGCAGGATGTTGTGCCCGCGGCCGCAACACAGGCTCTCGCAGTTGTCCATGCCCGGGCTGGTCTTGTTGCACAGGCGCCCTTGGGTGCCCAAGGAGTCCAGGGCCGGTTCCCGCTCGCAGAAATCGGGTGACTTCTCAAAGTAAACCAGCTCGCTGATGCCGGCCCGGCGGCGATGCCGAGCGTGGCCCGGCTCCAGCTGCCCGGCGTTGCGGTTGTGGGGCCGGATGAGGGTGGCCCCGTAGAAGCGGTCTTTGAGCAGGGACCCCACCAGGCGAAACTCGGGCGTCACCTGCCAGCACGTCTTCAGCTGGCAGCTCCCCGAGGTGCCGTGGCATTTGCACTTCCTCCTCATGTTGTCCATCACTACCTGCGCGGGGAGGGAAGGACAGTGGGGTCAGCATGGAGGAGACATTTTTGGGGGACCGGAGAAGCCATCGCGGAGCTCGCTGTTGGTTGGCACTGTGGGAACAGCAAGGGCTAGCATGAGCAGCCATCAGAGCCCTGGAGCTGCAAAGCCTGTTGCTGTGCCCAGTGTCACCCATGTCCCACACCCTGTCCCTTCCTATCCTGGCAGTACCAACTGGCTTTTACGCTCCAGCAAGTGATCGGCACCTAAAGGGGAGGGTGAGCTACCTGACCATAGGGACGAGAAGGAGCCAGGGACTCACCTTCCACTGCTGCTTGGCTCCAGCAGCATCAACCTGATCCTGGACCCCAACTGAAAGCCAGCGTGGCTGTATCTTTCCAGCCCTACTGGGACTCCCCAGTGCAGGGGTCCCCCAAGCACCTCACCAGCCAGGAGCACTGCAAGAGGGGCAGGTGGGAGGGATGCTTTTCCCTCCCCAGGGCTTTCCTCCTGTAAATCCCCAGCTCTGGGAGTCCCAGGAGCAGCTCTGCTTTCAGCTCTTGCCTGCTTTCTCATGGGAGCCCCGGGCGCAGCGCCGGAAGGCTAAGGCACTGCCTCCCACCATCACCCGAATTTCAAGCAGGAATCAGAGATGCTCACAGCCCCGACTTGTGGTTTGGGGAGGCCGCGGGGAGGCTGCGTTGAGGCCGGTGCCACACGTCTACCCCCCACGAGGGCCAGGGTGCATGGGCTGGGCTGCAGCTGTGGTTTGGGCTGCAGCTGTGGTTTGGGCTGGCCAGGGAGCACAGCTTGTGCAAGGACCAGAGGCCAGTGCAGCAGCAAGGAGGACCCTGGGATCCCTGGACAATGCTGCTGAGCTGGGGTCCCCCTAGGTCCCCCATCCCTGCAAGGGATGCTGCTGTGGCTGTGCCAAGGGAAACAGCTCATGCTAAGCAATCTCCACGGGCATGGAGTTGCTGCACATCCCCACAACAGCCTAGAAAGAGACAGTTTATACCATCCTGTGCTCTGTCCTGACAGGGATTCCCTGCTGGGTCGCATGCCCCCATGCCCACGTGCTCACACAGGCTCCAGCAAGTCCCCTTCCCATGGGGACACCGAAACCCCGCTGGGAGCCAGGCTGGGGCTTGCAAAGACTATCGTGGTCTGATCCTCCCACCCAGGGCCACACGCCGGGGCTCAGGGGGAGCCCAGGGGACGCGCCGCCCTGCACAAGGTCCTGTCCCATGATGCCAGCCCTGCCCGGCCGCCCGGCTTCACGCCTGACACGTGCTGCCTGTTCCTGCCCCCTCCCTGGGGGGGATGCATGTGTGAGGAGTGCCTTGTTTTGGTAGGGGTGGGTAGTTTTTACTCCTTGTTTTCTTGTTTTTGAGTAAATCTCTCCGTTGCTAAGCAGTTATGGTAATGAAGGCAGGTCAGGGAAACATGCCTGGAGCTTGGGGCACACGGCAGAGAGGTCTGGGCTGGGCTGGAGTTTGGCTTTCATCCTGCTGAGAGTCCTGTCTCCTGCTGGGAACAGTCTCCACCTCACAGGTAATGAGCTGCTGGGCCTCTTCGGCGTGTGCTGGGTGTGCTGGCCAGGAATACCAGCTGCTCGCCACCATCCTTGCCACCATCCATGGGAACATGGTGGCACTGGGACCCCATCCTTTCCCACATCCCCTCCCTGCTCCCTTGGCCGGACCAGGGAAAATCTGCATATAGGGCTGTGGCTGGGATGGTCACCACCAGGATGGAGGGGACAGTGGCATGACAGCTGCACAGGGGCTCATTTGGGGCTGCGGCTGGTTGCAGCACGGGCTGGAGAAGGCAGTGTGTGTGTGCCATCTCCATCACTCAAGCCATCACTGCTGAGCATCCTGAGCCCCAGCACCGCAGCACCCATCCATCCCTGCCCAGGGACAGCTTGTTATTCCTCCTGCATGGGCAGCACAAGGGGGACAGGACCCTGCCAGATCCAGGAGACCCGAGAAGGACCCATCTGAGCCTTGGCCCCATGCTTTTGCCATCGGATCTCCTCCACGCACCTCTACCCGGCCATGTCCTTCCCCCGTCTCACAGACACCCGGGTTCAGCACATGCCCGGACTCGCTGGTGCTTTCTTTCGCACATTCCCAGCTCCTCCCAGACACGCTCATAAGAGCTTTATCGTAGGTCTTTGTTGTGAGGCTAATGGGTAGTTCCTGGCTGCCTTTCATCCTCTCTCGCTCTCTGATCTGGCAGGTTAGGAGGACCTGCAAAGCCTCTTGCGTGCTCCTGCTGCTCCTCGCTGGGAAACTTGCTCCCTCCCAAGGATGCAGGACACCCACCTCAGTCTTGAGTTGGAATAGGAAGCCCCAGGGGGTTCCTCTCAAGACCAACTCAAGACCAAGGTGACCACTGCCATGGTTGGAGGATGCTGTGCATCCCCTGCAGCTGCAATCCCCTCTCTGGCTTTGTAGCTGGATACAAAAGATGAAAAAAATCAGGGTGTTTCTGCCTGGTTTCGAACCAGGGACCTTCCGCGTGTCAGGCGAACGTGATAACCACTACACTACAGAAACCCACATCCTGCAGCCACTGGATGAGGCCATCGGTGGGATTGTCATCCCAACAGCATTGCAGGGTCTGAGCTGGGAGCCAGGCTTACCCATGCGCAGAGCACCCTTGGGACACATCAGGACTGTGGGGAGGATGCTCAGCATCAGTGAGATGCTGGAGAGCCCTGGCTGCTGCAGCTGCTCGGTGCACAAAGAGGGATGGCACATGGCAGGGCATGGTGCATGGCATGCATGTCCGCGTCACCGCTCTGCTCAAGGGGTTGAAGCCTCAGGACTTGGAGGGGAGGACCACAGAGCTGCTGCATCCAGCATGGCCACTCCTTTCCTGGGAAATCCCAGCAGATTGTTCCTTATTACAGCAGAAAGATGGTCCTAGGAGTGAGGAGGGCTTGGGTGGGAGTGGGACCCACAGCGTGGCTAAGAGAGCAGGTGGGAAGCTGGACAACCCATCCCCAGGCATGTGGATGGCCAGGTCCAGCTCCAGCAATAAGCACGGCACCAACAGGCACAGACCAGGCACAGCATCATCTCCTTGCTCCAATGCATGGCACCCACAGCCATCACAATCCAACGCGCACATGGGCTTACGCTCTCATCTCAACAGCGTTCCTGAGCTGGGCAGCCTGTCCAGCCATTTCTTCCCCACCTGCACTGGTACCATCCCCTCCTTTATCCCTTTGGTCCTCCTCTGCCTCTCCTTCCAGCTCCCAGGCTTCTTCCAGCAGTCCAGCTCTTTGGATGGTCTCTGAAGCCACCAAGAGCCGACATTGCCAGTCCTGTGCCTGCCTGTCCTTGGGGACAAGCAGACCCCAGGCATTTTTGCTGTTGCTGGATCCCACGGGCACCATGTGGTAACATCACCCCTGTGCAAATATTCCTCTCTCACCTTCCCCTCCTTCTGCAGGGGGCTCTGGGGACTTCCCCTGGGAAATGGGCAATACAGACCTCAAATTTCTGAGCACTGCCAAGAGTCCCAGTTGTTTTGGGCATGCAGAGCTGGAGGGGAGCCAGGATGAGCCCTGCAGCCAGAATTGGGATGGGGGGGGTCTTGCCTGGCTTGGGGCAGAGCAGCCTGCAGAGAATTTAGCTGCCTAACACTGGGTGAGCCTTCACCATGCGCAGGCAAGCAAACAAGCAAAAACCTCTGTCTAGCTTTCCCCAGGCATTTACAGCTTGGCCAAACTGGGGCAGCTTTTTGGGGTGGTAAAGCTCAGCTCCAGCACCAGGGAAGGGCACATGTCAAGGTCCTGCTCTGCAGCATCCCCATCTTACAGATGGCTTTAAACCTGCTCAAAGCAAGAGGCACATCCAAATGTCTGAGCCATCCTGGGGAAACACTCCCTGTGGAATTCTGATCTTTAATTACTTATTCCTGCAGCCACTACACATCCCTCTGTGCTGCCCTGGCAGCGTGTGGCTGGGGTCTTGGGGACAAATGTCCCACTGGATCCACAGGATGGGGTCTCCCAGGCACCTGCTGGGAGCAAAGCCGGGCAGGCAAATGCAGCCATCCTCCCAGCCCCTCCTGCCTGCGTGCTTCTTGTCTCCAATGTCAGGCTGCTTTTAAACATCAGCTTCCAGACAGAACGAGCTACTAATTAGCACCTTTAACGAGACCTGACATCATGAGAATGGAGGGGAGGCTGCCCTGCTCGCCTGGGCAGGCTCCAGCACCCCCTCAGAGCCAGGGGACGAGTCTGTGGGCTGTCACCTCCACTCCCAAGGGGATGCTGCTCTTCCCAGCTGGCATAGGCACCCACTGCCTGGCTCAGTCCCGCTCACATCTGCCTCCTCAGGGCACCGGCTCCCTCTCCAGAGGCAGGGCCGTGGCTGGGTGCTGCCGAGCCTATGCTGTGTCCCCATGATGCCAGTTACTTTCTCCTCGCTGTCCGTAGCTCCCTCCCGCTGCAGCTGCCTGACACCAGTTCACCCAGTCCCTGAGAGGCAGGAGCTGGACTCATTGCTGTGCCATCCCCACAACACCGCTGCAGCACAGGCAGGTGACAGAGACCTGGGGAATTGTCCCTTGGCAGAGGGACAGCAGTGATGCTCAGAGGTGCCCTGCCCAACAGAGATGCTCTGCAGCAGGACTGCACCGCTGCCTTTGCTCCTGGCAAAACTGGGGAGAGAGAGTGCCTGGGGGCAATCCCAGCCTCACACACATATCCCACCACAGCCAGCACAAGCCCCTCACAGCCCACCCACATGCGTCCCAGGGACCCCATCCCAGCTACCATTGCCCTGCACCCCCTGCCCAGCACCCCACTCACCTGCCGGCCCACACGGTTGTTGTGCAGCCTCATGCGGGAATGGATGTCCCTGTAGGTTTCCCGGGAATCAAGGAAATCCTTGGAAAACTTCTCCCCATAGTCCACATCAGGGCTGCACCCTCCCCATTCCCAGGAGTCCTGGAGGCCGGGGGTCTCAGCCGGCATGTGCTCCATGTGCACCCCGTGCACCATGCCTTTGCCACGGTTCATGGCCTCCAGCTGGAGACGATGCAGCTTGCGCCGAAAAGCCTCCTCATCACCCCGGCGCTTCTGGTCACAGCCACAGGCTTGCAGCTTGCCAAGGGCGCAGGCATTGGAGACGGCGTGCACCACACCGGCGGCCGCGATGGCGTAGGCAAAGGCGCTCTCCCGAAAGCCTGTGAGGAAGGAGAGAGAGAGGCTCAGGCTGGGTGGCGTGGCCCCCGCAGGGGACTGGATGAGTCCAGTATCATGCTGGGGTGTAGGGAGCTGGAGGTTCAGCTTGTGCCTTGCCCTGTACTGATGCACCAGCTCCCACTTGGACCATGAGCAAATCCCCATCTAGTGCTCTCACATCACCCTGGGACATGCCACCACAGCATTGCTCAGGCATCAGCGTTATGGCTCTGATGGGAAAGGCAGTATCTCCTCCCGCCTCCACTCAGAGTTTCCCACTATGTTAAATATAATGCTGGCTGAGGAATACTTCTGCTGAGGAATGGGCCATTTCTGCTTACCCACAGGGTGCAGGATCAGGCAATAACAGGAGCAGACACCACTGCCTGTCCAGTCCCAGCTGTCTGCTCATGCCCCTTCCCTCCCTGAGCCCCGCCAGCTCCCGCAAGAAGCTCCAAACGCGATACCGCACTGGAAAAATCGAGCATCCCTAGTTAGTTAGAGCATGACGTGACCACACCGCGCGCTGCCAGGGCCAGCAGCTGGTTGTTGTTAAATGCTGGTGAGCGAGGACGTCTGCAAGTGCCATTAGCTGGGGATGGGGCAGATGGGGACAGGGACGGGTCCCACGGCAGGGGCTCCGCAGGGCTGTCAGCGGGGGCTGCCTGAGGGCCACTTGGCTCCGCTGCAGCTGGGTGAAGAGCCTCCGCTACCTGGGAACTTCTATTTTATTTTAAATGCAAAGTAATATTTTTATTTATGGTTCCCAGGCCAAGCAGGGAGCCCACGGTGCTCTTTGCTTCAGTACGCAGTGACCAGCCCCAGCATGAGGAAGGGAAGGAGGGAGAGCCAGATTTTGTGCTGTGGCTTCACACATGAATAAATAAATAGCTGGAGTTCGCCAGCCTCTCTCCCTCCGTTGGACAAGAGCAGCTTGATCAGCCCTGGCTTTGCTACAGCTGAACAGCCAAGAGGGTTTGGGGCATTTTCTCCAGCAGATCCGTGCTAACTAATGGGGGGCTTGGGCAAGCTGGCTCTGCCAGCTCCCTGCCTGCGCTGCGGAGTCACGAGAGGTGAGAGCACAACCGCTCCCCGCCGCCGTCGCCCATCCTTGGTGATGCTCCCCATCACGCATGTCTTCTCGGTGGTTCGCTGCCGCCCGCTGAGCAAATGCTATGATCTTATTAAAGGGAAATGAAACACAGCTCGGAAACCTGCATTTAAAGTCATGCTGCTCTTTTGTGTGTTAATTTGACACTGGTGCATTTAAAAAATTAACGAGGCGCTGCTTAAAAGCCAGCAGGAGCCTCTCCCAGCTTCTCCTCAGTGTGGGACAAGCTTGCTCTCAGCCTACCTCTTTCCATGCACAAGTTGAACAACATTTTTCAGCGGGCAGGTAATGGGGCTGCTGGTGCGTATGCTGCGCAGCCTCCCCGGGGAGAGCGCTGGCAGGCAGCGCCTGCAACACACCCACATTGCTGTTAGAGCAGGACAGCCCAAATCTGGGGAACTTCAGCCCCCAGGTGAGCGATGCAGGATGGAGAACCAGCACCGGAAGGTCTCCAGGATCCCCAAATCCTCTCCATATCAGTTCTCCATCCCCATAATCTGGGCCAGCTCCAGCCCTTCATGAGCCAAGGCTGGGCACAGCCCAAAAGCAGGGACCTGTTGCTGCCACCCCGCTTGGCATCGCTGGCTTCTCGCACAGCCGGTGCCCGTGGATGGCAGCAGCAAATCCTCCACCTGGCATGACACTCTCCTCTCAGCCCTGCCCTTCCATTAGCCTCTTTCTCACACATTTCTCCAGCCTAACGAATAATTCCCCATGTGGCATCTCCTTAAAATCCCTTCTGGAGCTCAGACAGAAGCTCTACCCCACCCAGTCCATCTAACAAGCCCGTCTCCTTGCAGGTAAAGAGGCCGGGTTCATTTGGTGCCCTCCACGGCTGAGCAACCTCTGGGGTCAAGCCCCAGCCCTCTTCCTTCCTCCATTCTTCTCCAGCCATGCGTGAGTTTATGGGTGAGGCATGGGTCCTTGTCCCTGGAGCTGCCATCCCGCAGGCTGTGGGCAGAGGATGGGCTGGTCCCCAGGACTTCACATCCCAGCACTCTGAGAGTCTTGTCCCCATCTCACCGTGGTCATTTCCCTGCTCAGTATCACTCTGCCTGGCCCCGCCGCTCCTCCCTGCTTCTCACCTCCTTCCCTCATCCCACAGTGATGGGGACCTATGAGCAATGGGGAGAAGGGGCCTAGGGCAGCGCTGGGACCGCAGCAGCCATACCAGCACGGTTCTGCTTGGAGGTTTAGTTTACATTCCTTGCTCTACCCTGGCCACGCCAGAGCCCAGATGATTGCAGCAAAGCAGCAAGCAATGTGGCTGCAGGCGACAACCACCAGCCTCATGGGCTCAGCAAGGGTGGGAGCTTCCAGGAACCACAGCAGAGCGCGGTGTGCGGCAGCCGGCCCCGAGCCCTTCGGGGGGAGGCTCTCTGGCTACTACAGCCATCTAAGACCTCAGTGGTGATGTTTGAGTCACTAGATCCCTCCAGAGACCACAGAAGAGGTTGTAGCCGTGGGAGGTGCAAGAAGAAGTATTGCATCCTGCAGGGAAGAGGGAATGGAGGACACCACCCTGACACCACCGCCGGCATCCAGCCTGCTGTGTACTTAAAGGACCATGCTGGGCAAGGAGGATGGATCTGAAATCTTGGCCCCAGGTCAGATCCCAAAGCAGTTTTTGTTGCAGGGGAAAACTTTCCCTGTCAAGATGCACCTAGGAGACGGGGGGCCATTTAGCAGGACGCCAAGCCCCAGCTGGCACTGGTTCTGCCACAGATGCTGCAGTTTCTCCATCTCTCATGTGGATATGGGGCCGGGTCAGGCATGGCTGTGGGCTCCGTGGTCTGGAGACCAGGGAGAGCTGGAGTCATGGCCTTCTTCCCACTGCTCACCATCGCACCCAGGCAGCAACGCCCTCCTGGCACCCATCACTGCAGTGCCTGGGTGGCATCGAGGGAGCAGGCAGGACAGCCTGGCCCAGGTGCACCCTGGGGTACCTCAGAGTTGCTCAGCTGCCCCCGCTGTGGGCAGTACCCCCGAGGCGTGGGTGGCAGCTGCCAGGGGCTGTGGGCACATCACCCCGGCCCCGCTGGCTGGCAAGGTGGAGAGTTTCTCCCGCCACCTCCTACGAGGCCCGCGGAGATGGCCAGTCCCGACACGCCGCCTCTCCCCCAGCCCCGCTCCCTCCCCTCTCCCTAATTAAACTGCAGGTGAACCTGCCAGGGTCTGGCCCTACGCCAGGCACTAAACGCCTCCCTGCAGATCCCGACTTGCCTCCCTGCACCTCCGTGAGCGTGCCAGGGACAGCCCGCAGCCCTCACTCCCCGTCTGCCCACGGCGCTCCAAGCCGGCAGCCCTCGCCACTCTGCGGGCTGCAGGGACCCGGGCTCAGCCCCACAACTCTGGGGATGCTGCCCTGGCCCCAGGGTCTCGCTTGCACCCATCAGCTGGGGGAAGGTCCAGGGGATGGGGGCACCCACAGAGATGTAGCTGAGCATCTGAAGCACCCACGTGCGCTTCAGGGCCAGGTGGGCAAAGCCATTGGTTTGCCTGGGGGTACTGAAAACCCTGCCAGCAGCCCAGCTGCAGCTGCACCGGGCCAGCCGCTGCGGTCTGCGGGCACCGGAGCTTGGCTGGGGCTCTGCAGAGCCAGGCGCCGGGGTCCTGAGCTTGGCAGCATCTCCCCAGATATCCGTAACAGCACCTGCCTCCCTCAACACATGGCAAAGCCTCCCCAAGCTCCAGTTTGCAGCTGGCTGGGCCCCAGCACCTCGTGTTTCCAGCCTTGCAGGGAGTTCCCCTCTCCTTGCTGTAAGAAATGAAGGTTTGGCCATGGCCATGCAGACCCCTTGGCACCAGGGAGCCCTTCTAAGGAGGGCACAGGGCATCCAAGCATCACCTGTCCCTCCAAAGGCTGCAGAAGAAACCAGGGGATACTGCTCTCAGAGCCGTGTCCCCTCCAGCCACGCACCCTTGGGGGCCTTCAAGGACACCCAGTCCCTCTGCGAGGGTCCCATTTCTTTCAGAGCTCCATATAGATGGGGTTGGGATGAGCAAAGGGGAATGTTTAGGGAAGAGGGATCCCTTAGCACAGCCCCTGCCCGGCAGCCAGACAGTCCCAGCCCCGCTGGCATTGCACCCACCCATAGGTGCACGCATAACAGACAAGGACAAAGGCTCGGTGACCACTGCCATCTGCAGCTTTGTTTTTGGCAGGTACCCAGGCACAGTTCAGCCCAGCCAAGCCACACAGCAGTGTCCAGCAGCCCACAGATGCTGCAGGGGGACCACATACTGGGAGCAACAGGCCACCCTCTCCAGCGAGGTGGACACAATTGTGCTGCTTACCCTTGGAGCAGAAGCAGGGGACCTATCTCCATTGCTGGTGCAGATTCAGCCACCTGACTCCACCTCACTGCTCCATCCTCCTACATCTGCCCCTGGGCCCAGGAGAGGATGTCTCTGCCGGCAGGCCAGCACATGGAGGGAGAAGGAGGGACAGCAGAGAAGGGTGGGACGAGGGACAGGACTGGAGGGTGCTGGCAGGGATGCCAGTGCCAGGGAATGGCCACGAGGATGGCAAGGATGTAGGCAGCCAGCTGAGGAGCCAGGGAAGACAAGGAGGAGGATTTGCAATGGCAATGCTGAGCCTGGATGCACAGGGAGGGCACACGGATGTGGGCCAAGGAGGACAGGGGGTGCAGATGGCACTGGAGGCTCAGCGAGGGGTGCAAAGGACAGCCCACACCTCAAGGGTGCAGCATCAAAAGACCAAACTTGAAAAACCCACAGCCCATGAGGATGTCTCAAAAAACCCCAGAGGCTCTGTGAGAGCAAAGATTGTAAATCCCTGGGCACCCCGTCTGCTTGCCCTCTGCTAACCTGTTGTTGTGCCCCGCAGCCGCTGTGCCCTGTACCCCAGGGGCGGCTGCATCTCCCTGCTGCCCCCGACAGGTCTGTGCTCTGCCCAGGATGCTGTCAGCATCCCTGTCCCCAGCTATGCTGCCCAGAAGCCATCCCAGACTCCCAGCCCTGTCCAATTTGAAGCCTCCCTGCTCCTTCCTGGATCCCCAGGGCTTCCACTCAAACTTTTGAAATCAGATCAGGGGAAAGGGGAGACAGGCACTCTTTTGCCACTGTCCCCTGCTCTGTCCCTAGGGGATGAGGTCCCCAGCTCCACCGAGTGCCTGGATGCCAGGCAGAGCGTGGGACAGTCACCTGCGCTGCACCCCAGACAGCTCACGCCTGCGCTGGGGAAGATGCAAGAGATGCAGGAGGATGGGGCGGAGGTGGGGAGCGGAGCCAAGTGGGGAGAGCGGGAGGGAGAAGCCAGCTACAAATAATTTAAAGTGAGATTCACGCACGGCTGAACTGATGGCTGAAGAAGTGGGAAAAGGAATGAAAGATTAAAGGGGTCTGTCACTTCGGGTTACAAACAATGATCCTACAAGCACGTTGTGTTCCCAGGCATGGCAAGGATGAGGCAGGCCGCAGAGCAGAGACCTGGTCCCTGGGGGTCAGATGCATTAATGCCTGCGGCACGGAGCCTGCACCCCTCGCTTCCACTGCTTGCCTCTCCTCTGGCTCCAGACTCGGGAGATGCACCCAGCATCCCTGCTCTGATGTCTGTGTCCATAACAGCTGCAAGATGGAGCTCAGAGCTCCAGCTCAGTTATTGTGTGACACAAGTGGGCTGGAAGCTGGCCAGGGCACCAGCCTTAAGGTTTGCTCCATGCCAGAACAGCTCCGAGCAACCGCATGGGATGGCCTGGGTGCTTGGGGCTCATCCTGCACCCTCTGCTGCCGAAACAGGAGTGCCATGAGGTGCCCCTCTGCTCTGCTGCTCCAACCCTACCTTCATCCTTCCCTTGGTGCTGGGCCTCCATCCCAGGGAATGGGATCCCACCAGTGCTGGGAGCCTGGGCTGAGCCATACCCAAGAGCTCAGGACTGGGGCAAGAGTCCAGGGGCTGCGGGAGTCCCCACACCCATCGGTCACAGCCCTGACAGCGGGAAAGGCTGCGGTGGCACCTGAGACACAAGTGAGCTGCAGGTAACCGGCCACCACCAGACCTGGTGGGCTGAGGGAGGGATGCAGAAGGTCAATGCTCTGCTGCTGGAGCTTCTCACCCAGCCTGGTGGGACCTGGAGCAGGGAAGCTCACCTGGGTGTGTGAGCAACTTGAGCCAGCAAGTCAGTGTCTCCTGCCGCCTGAGGAGACTAGAAGTGAACTGCATTCCTCAGAGGACCTGGAAATACCTCGATGCATATCAGGGCTGACGGTCCCCACCCTCCCTGCCAGGCCCTAACCTGGGTGCTGCTCATGGAGGGAAGAGACGCTGCCCTCCTCCAGGCACCGGAATGCTGAGAGGGACCACGGCTGCTCCACGGCAGAACCACAGCCCTGATGCCATGCGTGCTCCAAGGTAGCATCCCCTCCAGTGAGGTTTTGCCCATCTGCCCTGGACACAAGGGACCTCCCAGCACCAAAACACTTCTGTGCTCCCCTCTCCAGCCATCTCCCCACCTGCTACAGCTGCCTGGGGGCTCCTGCCAGTGCATCCCCTCAAAGGCATATAAGCCTCAAGCTGCCAACTTCTCCTCTGTGAGACTCTCCTCTCAGTCCCAGGGAGAGAAGATGTTGTAAGATGTGTAAGGATATTTGGGGAAGGGGGGACAGAGGCATCTCTCTGCTGGGCACCAGGCTAGGAGGCTCCCAAAAAGGGCAAGAGAGCAGCATCTTTGGTAGTTGTTGCCTTCCTCAGGACGTGGAGGAGCTGCTGGACACCTTGCCTGCCCTCAGCATCCTGCCTGCCACTGGCACCATATTGTCCTCTCCTGCCCACAGTCTGGGGCAATGGGCACTTAGAAATGTGCTGAGGCCCAGGCTTCAAGAAGGGTGCTTAGGTGAGAAGATACATTCAAGTATCTACAGAAAGTCCCATCAGATCACAACCCTGATCTGCACCATGCAGGACAGCCCCTCTGCACCCCCAGAGTCCACTCCTGAGGGAAAGAGTATCAACTCAGGAGGCTCCGATACAGGCAGAGCTGGCCATGCCTGTGAGGGAGATGAGGAGATCCTGGCGCCAGGGCTCAGCAGACAGTGGAGGGCTAGGAGAGCTCTCCCAGCAGCACAGGTAGGGGCTCTGTGGGCAGGCGAGCTCCCAGGACAGCCTGTCTCCCTGCCCCCCATGCCACCACACTCTAGGGTCCCACAAAACAGAAAGCCCTCAGCTCTCCGCACCGGGGAGCCAACCCAAAGGCAGGACACCAGGGTGATGGGCTCACAGAGCTATGTCCCATTAGCTAGGGGCATTTCTGCTCACCATGATGCACTGAAACACCATCCCCAGAGCAGGAATGAGCCAAGATGCTCACTGCATCCACCAAACCAAATCCCAGCGCACGGCATCCACCTTCAGACGCACCAATGGTGCTGCACACCCATGGCACCGCTCCAAACACCAGCCTACACCGCATGGGGGGAAGATGCCAGAAAGTGGTGGGGCCTGGAAGGAGCCTTGGGAGCAGCTGGGGCTGAGCAGGGAGGAGCAGCTCAGGACAAGGGCCAGCGTAGGTACAAAGGCGCATGGAGAAGAGCCCAGCTTTGCCACAGCGCAGCACTGCTTGGTCTGGCAGACCCTGAGGTTTCTCAGGCTCTGTCTGCCTTCATGCATGGGGATGCTGAAGAGCTGGCCTGGTTCCCTGAGCCAGGGAAGAGCTGTGCAGGGGCCCATGGGGAGCCCATGAGGGCTCCTGAGAGCAGGGGCTGGGCAGAGGAAGAGGAAAAGGAGGGAGACCGTCCGACTGTCCAGCCCTTACCTCTGCTGAAGATGATGCTCTCGTAGGGGATCTTGTTCTTAGTCTCAAGGCTGGAGCAGTTCCAGCGCTGGTCCCGGAACTGGTGCTGGCACTCGTGGATGGCGATCTGGATGCCCTGTATGGCCGAGGCAGTGACGTCGGGGTGGCGCACGCACACCTCCAGCTGCCGCCGTGTCAGGCCCGGCAGGGTCAGGCACACCGTGTTGGCATTCAGCACCGGTTCCGATGGCAGCTTCAGGCCCAGGATCTCATTGGAGCAGGAGCTGGGAGGGAAAGGGAAACCCGTGAGCTCGGAGCAAGCAATGTGTCAACCGCTTGCTTCCCCTTCGGGGAGGGAGAAGAGCTTGGGAGGGGGGACACAGGGGGAGGGGAGATGCTCCTCAACCCACACTGTGCCCACTGCCTACAGAGAAGGCTGGAAAACCCCTGGGCACAACGGTAGCTCTCAGGCAGAGATGCCCCAGCAGCACTGGGGCTGTAATCCTCTCCAGTCATGTCAGCACAGCCCGGCAGCATGTGCCCGGCGACAGCCAAATTTGGCCTTCCTGCCTCTGGACCCCAACACCTCCTGGGGCTGCACCCCCTCTGCGTGCTCCCCCAGGGATCTCCTGCCCTGGCCATGCGGTGCAAACACTCGGGCACAGACTGCCCTGGCTCACCTTCCCCTGAAAGCATGGGTTTCCCCCTGGGAGAATCCAGAGACCCCAGAGCAGGAGACCCATCCCAGGTCTGGCTCCTTCCCTGTTGCTGGCTGATCCCCTCCCTGCATCTCCCGTATCCCCCTGGCACTGCTGGTCCTCACAAGGGAGGTAACCAGAGGGACCAGACTTTTCCTGCTGGCTCAGCTGGGAAATTCAGAGCCAAGCACCTTGCTGAACACCCTCAAGCTCCCAGCAACAATCCCAAATCCACTGTCACATCCCAGCCCCACCAGACCTGATGCCTGTCACCACAGAAGCACAGAGACCAGCAGATGGATGGGTACAAGGGGAAGCACATGCTCTGTGGCAGGGGTGCAAGTACTTATACGAGTAGAGATGGTGCCTGGGGAAACAGGGAGGTAGATGGAGTGTGGGGAGATGGACAAAGCATGCCCAGAGAGAGGTGCCTGGAGCTAAGACAGTGGTACACAGGACTGATGGATGCGGAGAGGGAGATGGAAGGGGAGGAAGTGTTTGCCCAGCTCCCAGGAATGGCTTGAAGGACCTTGGGATCCACAGTGTCCAAGTAGAGGACCTGCAAAGCGAGCAGCAGGCAGTGGGATGCCCAGCAGCATCCTGCATCTTGCAGCAGAGTCCATCAGGAGCTCAGCACCGCCCCGCTCCTTGCTCAGGACAGCTCAGAACCCGCTGAGAGCTGTCTCCAGGCAGGGCTCTCTCTTCCCCGGGACAGCCAAGAGCTGGGTCCCTGGGAGGAGCAAGGAGCTTGGAGCCCTTTGAACCTTGATTACAGAAATGAGACTTGGAGGAGGATGCTGGAGGAAGGACTGCAGCTGCCTTACGGAGCAGCCAGGTGTTGGGGAGAAGGGTTACTCCCCCTCTGCTCCCCCCCTCCCAAAATCCTGCAAGCCTGGTACAGGTACACGAACAGAAGCAGCTCTCGGGGGGCAGGGACTGACTTCCCCAGCTCAGCACTCGCCCAGCTCTGGAGGAAGGGCTCAGCCCCAGGGTCCCTGTTGAATTACAGCTTGCTCAAGGGGGGAAGGGGAGCTGTCAGGGTCAGGCTGCTGCTTTCTCCAGCTTCCCAAGGGTGTTTATACCCATTCCACCACTTCCATGGGTGATATGTGCATCTGCCCCAGTGCAAATCCACAGTGACTCCAACAGGGAGAGTTGAGGTGGGGGAAGAGCAGAGAGAAGGAGAGTGGAAGGGGGTGCATCCCTCCAAAGCCCCTACACAGGAGGGGAAATCCTCTGCCCAGCTCCTGCGCTCATTCACGCTGTCAAAGCCAGCTCTGGCTGACAGGAGGTGCAAAGCAGGTCCACAGCTACCACCAGCCCCAAGCCCAGCAGCTCCAGCCCCAAGCACTGCAAGGACCTTGTCCTCTGCCTGTCCTGAGCCAGCCACTGCACCTGCCACCTTCTCCCAGGGCATCCCAGGGTGGGGGGGATGTTACGGTCCTTCTCCCCATTGCACAGCGGGGAAACTGAGGCAGGGGCCCTTGTCTAGGGCCCCGGTGAGCGGAGGGCAGGTCCTTCTGCCTCTTGCTCCACTCAGGGCTCAGGGGCACCAGGGACCAGCAAGGAGCTGTCACTGTCACCCTCCCAAGGAGGACACAGCGCTCCCCCCAGCTCTCTTCCCCCTTGAAATCTGGATTTAAACTTGATTTCACGGTGACAAGCCCCCAGGTCACAGGCTGCAGCGGCTGCTGCTTTAATTAATACAAGTCCCAACGTTAACAAATTATATTTAAAGGGGCTGGAGGGAGGGGGAAGGGCGGGGGACCCCCCCACTCACACCAGCACCAGGGTTAACCCCTGGCTGCCTGCAGCGCACAAGTTTGGGAGCAGGCGGAGGGGAGCTGCAAGCCACCCGGGGGAGATGGAGACGGACAGGGGTGGTGAATGTTGGGGGGCCGTTTTCTGGAAGGCAGGCGGCCCCCTCTTACCCCCCTCGCCTTTAGGATCGGTGGAGCCGGGCAGGAGACGCAGGTGGATTCCCCCGCCCCGGTGCGCGCCCCTGGGGTGCGGAGCCCAGAGGCACCCATCCCGTGGGCACCGTCCCCCACGACGGTGGCATCCCCCCGGCCTCCGCGGGGGCCCCCGGCAGCGAGGCCCGTCCTCCGCCCGGGGAGAGCGGGGAAACTGAGGCAAGCAGGGCGGGCGCTGGGGCGGCTCCGGCCGGGGAGGAAGGGGGACAACCTCCCGGAACGCGGGGGGAGCCGCGCATCCCGCCGGCGCTCCGCCGGGACGGGGGGGCAAGACGGAGGGAGGGCAGCGGCCCTGACAGCGCCCCGAGCGGGGGGCCGCAGCCGTGCGGGGC